CTAGATAGGCAGGTAACGTGTTATCATAGCCGCAAACAACGTTGCGATAGTTACAATTTACAATACAGTTGAGCAAACCACAACCTTTTTTGCTTCCTGGCAGAGATGGATTGGTGAGTCAACAACGCCCCCCTATACGAGAGGAGCATGGCTCCTAAGATCTTTAATTTCCTGTTGATTGATAGCTCAAGCCAAGCCATACCGTAGAGTAAATTCGCTTTTTGAGTTCAGGTCTAAGTCAAGACAGCATCCCACGCTGCCTAGTAATTCCAGTTTCGCACCACGTGGACGATTCGACGCCATTGATTCTTAAAGCAGGCACATCGAATGTGACTGAAAATTTTTCCACACGTCGCCGCACTGTTGCACACAAAGAACGCAAAGTTTGCCATGAACCGCGCAATGGACGACAAGAACTCCTGTGTCAACGGTGCAAGTGCATGTACCACTCAAGTTGCTTTTGTCGGCAAGATCCAAAGCTAGTACTGAGAACCACACGCCAATGGTCTTGTCCAGATTGTGAGCCAGCTGCTACAAATTTCATCGACTGATTAATCTCCTGGTAATACATCTAGCAAGCAGCGAAGCGACTCGTCTACCAAAAACCGCAGTAGTCGTTGTGCCAAGTCTTTCTTTACAATTCGAGGAAAAAGTGAGGGTAATGAACGATCAAGAACAGGAAAGGATGAAAATGGTTCTGGTTCAGAGATAGAAAGACAGTGTTTGACGGATTTAGCCTTGCGTGGCGGAAATAACATCATTGCCACGATTTTGGATCAGATAGGAGAAATGCTAGTAATCACACAAATTCTTTCAAGAAAGGTAATTGATGGCATGAACCCGTACTGGCTCGAAAGTGTTAGAGATCTAAGGCATGATAAGAGTGACGATGAGAGGGCTAACGCGAACAACAATGATTTAAAGAGTGAGCAACAACAACATCAAGAACAGGATGCGTGTACGCCACCTCCACCACCACCTCCTTTTCGACTGGTTCCAACATCGTCACTTGCATACGCTTTTACTGCTGCTTCTTCTCAGATTGCTGCAATGAACGATTGGGTCGCCACTGCAATAACTGGGGCTTCAGACAAAGATCATCTGCTACGTCGAGTATACAATGGAATGGACACTTTGAAGCGGTTGCTGGAGCAGCTGCAAGTTGCAGACGTTCTGTTTGAGAGTGACCTTATCAAAGAGATCAAAGTCATTTTCAATCAAGATTGTAAGACTGCATCTAATGGTAGTAAGAAGCAGAGATCCGGAACAGCTGGTCGATCTACATCGGGCTTAAAGGGAGAAAATGGTTCGAGCCGCTTGTATTTATTGAAGCAAATTCAGACTCGATGTACAACATTATCAACTGTCCAGATTGCATGAATTCAGAGTTACAAACAGAAGGTATATTCGTGAAAACGGACACACCTTCTGTTTGACAATAGGCGTGCAAATGAACCTCTAGACTACATGTGCTTAGAAATGAAGGATGTATCAAGTACGGACTTGGATGCTGACAGTGTAAAGAATATGAAAGCCGTTTACATTGATGAGACAAAGGAAGTTCCGAGGTTCGAGTGTCAAGAATACACGATAATTGTCAGGGCTCAAGCAATGTCGTGGAAAAAGCTGACATGACTTTCATCGCAAATATTGCTGATTATCCCATAAACCAAAAGCTCGATTTTGTCTGAAACAATAAATAAAACCACTATTCTGGAAGGTACAAGCAAAGATGGAACCGAAAACCCTCATCTTTCTGGTGGATACAGCGCTTTAATAATGCAAATTCAAATACCTTAGCATACTCACCGGATAAGCCTGAGCCAGAACAATTAAGGAACGACATCAACTGGTGATGTAGTAGTCAGGCGCCGGAAAAGGCTGTCTTCTTCGCTATCTTCATGGATGCAACGGGGCTGCCGTAGGTCTTTGCTTTGAGAAAGCCAAGCAAAGGCCACCGACCTTACGTTCTATACAAGATCCAATACGAGTGATGCGGATCCCAATCCGCTACCTTCAAGAGTACTTCAAACTTTAACCAAGGTAAAGACGCTCTTCCGTTCAAATTTAAACTGCATCTAATTGTTTTATTTGCGGAGCCGCCATTGCAGAGCCGCCAATATCTAAAACATAGGCTTTCCTAATAAATATAGTATTGCCTAATTTATATAGTAAAAACTAAATTTTATGCATGACTGGCAGTCCCGCCACGTAGTGACTTTATGGAAAGGTGTGGCCACACCATTGTGTAATTACCCCGACTTGTGTAATCCTCACCTTTGTACGATAACATAGTCTCGTGTGACCCACCCTTTCATACATGGGTATGTGCAACCCGTTACAATGGAAGTAGTGAGTGCTGGTAAAAAAAAGAATAATGGGACTGGAAGCAAAGATACATCACACAAGAGACGAAAAAGATGGCCAACAAGAAGAGTTTTCCGTCGAGCATTTTGCGTGCACTTGATCAAGGTATAAATTGGATTGATGAAGAAAGTATTCAAGGCACCCCAGGCCAGTTTGTATATATTGTGGCCTACAAACAGGAGTTTACTACAGAAGGTGAAGACAGGAGGTGTCGCCCAAGTTTTCCGTTGCGTGAATACTGATTATTCTACATGTTTAGTCAAAATTAGTTTTCGTGCCGTTGATGAGCAAAAATGACGCTGAAGCGTAGTCTGGCGACATGCAATATTTCTCAGATATATGCAATAGTCGAAAAAGCTATCGACGATGTCATCAATATATGAGAAGTCACATAAAAATCAGTCGTGGGACGCTTCAAATATATCCCGCATATAGACTTGTCAAGAAATCGTCAAAAGATAGATATTTTTCCGAAATAATTCATTGTATCAGAAGGCAATGGATGCTACCGAAGGAATAAGTCGGTGCAGTCGATAATTGATTTGCACATCGACAAAAGACGGCCACGTGCGTGAAAGTATGTCTCCGCACTGTAGTACTACATTCTGTGTGGAGAAAGATATGGTGGTTGGTGAATTGTTAACGCTTTCAACAAAATGAACGATGCAAATAAACCTGCTCAAACTTCGTTTTGACGCAATAATACGATCCTCGATTCGAAAGATGATAATTATGATACGAATGCGTGAACAGACACACCACGTAGCGCAGTCAACATCCCCCGATGATATGCTGGAGGAATGGTTTGGATGCCACAAGGTTTGAAGGACGCTCCCGCTCCTTTAATAAAATGGTAAGGAATCATCTATGTCAATTAAGGGAGTTTACACCAAATTTTCTGGATGTGTTATTTCTTCATAGTAAGAACCGGGTGAGAAGTCTGATGTCGATGTTCATTTAATCATCTTCGTCAAGTCTTCCAAGTTATGCGAGAGAAGAAAACTTCACGCTATCTGGGAAGTGCATTTTCTGTGCACCTAATATCCCCGTTCTCGGTTCCTTTTTAGGCAAAATTGCGCTCGCATAGATCCAGGTAAGTCAATGCTATCAAAAATTGGCATGTGCCAAACCATGTGAAGCAGTTGAGACAATGACCGGGCTTCATCAACTATTTGCACGAAAACACGCACAATTATACAGCGTCAATGCAACCTCTAACATTTTTTCATAAAGGAAGGTTGGGTGGGAATGGTTAGAAGATCACCAGATGGTATTTGCCGAAGTGAAGCAAAAATTGCAAGATGCTCCTGCCCTTGCGATTGCAAACCAGGGTAAGTCTTTCTGTGTGGTCTGAGATGCAAGTGATGTTGCCATTGTGTGTGATGCAACATGATGAGAGTCGAGAGTGAGTTGTTTTGTAATGCTCGCGACAACTTCGGCCCGCGAAACCGCTATTCCTAACAACGGGCTTCTATCGATGAAGTACACTTTAGTCAAATTCCGTTTGTACTTGCTTTGGAGAGGAGTGTTTTGCGATCTATATGGACCATGACACGCTTCGTACGAAAATAATGACCGCAAATTTATCCAAGGAAATACATCAATGATTTTTCCTTTGCAAAGTACAAGTTTGCTGTTTACAACAAGCCATGCTAGACATAATTCTTAGCCGACGTGTTGTCAATACGTCCTGTCTATATTACAAAGTCTAGTAGCTAAAACATGCGCGAATCATGTCGACAATGCGTCGATGTTCAGACGATTAGCGTGCACAACACCACTGGTACTTCTGACAAAGCCTGCTAGTTCTTTCTTCTCGCACAGGTTTGCGTGTTCACCGTTTTGAAGTACACAATGGAGTATTTCACAATGTGGTCGTGCGTGGTCGAGCACGGAGATACCACAGGGGTTAATTTTCCTTATCATGAAAATTTTTGTAAACCCTTCGAGTGGCCATCTTGGACATGAGAAAACTTTTGAAAGTCTTTCTCGGGATTACTATTGGCCACACATATGTACATAAGACTGCAAGTATGGAAGGACTGGCGAGATTTGCCAGAGAATGAAACCATCAAGCTTCACTCAGACTCCACTTCGGTCGTTCGCAGTACCAGCTGACAGCTAGGTGGTTTTGAGTAGGAATTTTATATACAGACTTCTGCGCGACACACACGGACATAATAGCATCCTTGTTCAAATGGATCGATTCAGCAAGACATTTCAGCTTGCGCCTGTTTCGAATAAGATCTCTGTCGCAAAAACAGCTAAGATCTTCGTTGACGTTGTTTTCCGTCTGCATGGTTTCCTGTTGAGATATTGTCTGACCCCGACACCTTCCATACGTCGAAAATTTGGCGTGCACTGTTGGGAATATTGGGCACCATATTGTCCATTCCAACAGCGGCACACCCTGATCCAGACGGTCCGACAAGAACGCCAGAATCGAATCCTGGAGGTCGTACTGCGTAGTTACGCTACGCCGTTCCAAAACTGGAGCGAATTTCAACCTCTTGCAGAGTTTGCGTTGAACAACTCAATGCATGTCTCGATAGGTCACTCGGCATTTTATGTGAACTTGAGAATACATCCTAATGTACCTGCTTCCATAATGAGCGAGTTCTCTATCCCTTTAGTGGGGGGACTATGGCTTTGAAGCATAGTCTGAACTAATTGCTGCCATAGAATTAAAAGCAAACGTTGATGTTGACTCAGTGAGACTTCTTGACGACATGGCAAGTCGCGAGGAAAAGCAAGTCGACGACATTCATATAAAGATACAAGCTGTAGTGTGATTTGCTTGAGATGCAATAGAGAAAGCAACACGAAATAAGCAGATAAAAGTTGAAAAAATAAAAAGAAAGAATTCGAGGTCAATGATCCTGTACAGTATAGCACGACAGATCTGCCTGATCTAGTGTCCAATTTATGGAACAAACAATTCTCACCAAAATTTAATGGGACCATCCAAGGTGTTAAAATGCAATGGTGGTGCTTATACAGTAGCCATCCCTACACACATGCACCTACACATTTTGTGGATAGGCTCAAGTCTTATTCACCGAGTGAGAGTGCCCATACTTTTCTACCTTTGGTAAGTGGTCCAGCTAATCATGAAGTTTCTCCACTTGACTGTGAAGAGCAACCAACCTTTCACCCTCGAGATCCTTTTTGGTGCACAAAGTTTGAGAACATCGAAGGCTTGTTCTTATATCGATTTTAGCACTTGAAGGCTTGGATGGTTCTAACCACGGAGTCCCTCTAAAACAGAGCCTACCACTTCAACAGAGCTAACCGGTGTCCATGAGCCAGCCCACGAGACGTCTCGTCCTTTTGGAGCTGAAAAGCTCATCACGAACCTGCTGAAACCGAAGCTCAAAATGAGAGATCTAAAGCCAGGCATTGGGCGGAATCATCAATCAAAACATCGAATTTCGAGTTCTGCTTTGCAGCAAAATCTTAAAGATCTTGCAGCATTGTTCAAGCGTCTAGCAAAGCTGCTGTAGCTCCTCGATTTGCTCGCGATTAGCTCTCATCCACCTCCAGAGTTACATAATCGTTTCCATGTTTAACCCACCATCATATTCTCGTGATAGCCTCACAACGTGGTTAAGACAATTGTCAATCACGAAGATTGATCGACTCGTCATCGTGGAAGAAGCTGTTGAACCATCGACGCTTATCAGAGTTCTATATCGCAGCAATCCATCGAGTTCGGACACTCAAGAACCTCGACGAGCTCTGGAGTTTGATGTCCCGATATGGTGGGCAGCTACGAGAACCGCTTGTAGTCTTGCAAAAGGCAACACTACGACGATCAGAGCTAGGTTTTATCGGGTGGTGATTGGTATTCATGCTGGCGACGACCCAGCGCAGCAGGCGCTCCATCTTTATACCGTTCTCAAGGCGAACAAATGTTCGCCGAGAGTCCAGCTTAGCTGCGGTCGGATTATCACAATTACTGATCCGACGCCAAGAAAAAAGGTTCCATGTAGAGCATCTAGTCTCTATATCGCTTGAGATTGGGGGATATCAAAGAGTTCTGGAGCCAATGTTTGCCCGTTTATGCAAATGACGCATTTTAAAACTGGCTTATTCTGTTGATCGCTACATTGTTGATCGAAAGTGAACTGCTTCAAAAGGTCAGCACGTAAAATGCATGCATCAGCGCCAAAGATTGCAAGGCGCATCATTTTATATCGACGGCAAATAAAACAGCGACTCGTCAGCCTCGGCGACCGGTATTCGATAAGGATTTGTCGTGTGCGTATCGTATTCATTACCAGGTTAGAGCATCAACGCGAATACAAGCACCCTAGAGGTGCACTGACGCCGCGATTGATGAGAGCAAATTATCGCTAAGCTGGCAACTGTGACGCGAACGCAAAAACGAAAAATGCATTTGAATACATCGTATAGCGTGTTTCAGACTCCGTTTACAACAACAGAAACGTGACAGCTACTCATTGGCGTATAGAAAAGCTTTTCCACATGAAGGCGTCATATGTGTTTCCTGTTCATCCCACAAAGTAGTGACACGAGGTGAATACAACAAAGCACTTTGTAGGGTCACAACCGTTTCAATGAGGGCTATTACCAACACGCGGTTAGGAGTTTGAGGTGCCACTTTAGCAAGACTGTTCAGACGTCGTAGACGCTTATGACCAGGGCAACACAACGCGCCCGCCCCGGGCGACGGATTTCTCGCGCCTACTAGGCTCTCTCGCTTCTCGGCAGTGGCCCGGGAAACCGGAGGGCCATGAGCCGCTGTTGTTGTAGACTCACCCGTGGGAGAAACCACAGAGCTCGTGGGAGCGTGATATATGGTTTTATGTGTAGCAGGGCGACAATACGCAAGAAAACGGCATTGTGCTTGGAGTTTGGCAAACTTAAATTGAAGGTGGCGCTCTACGCGCTCGTCCACATCCTTATGGCTTCGCCGTAAAGTAGACAGCGAGGAAAGTTTTCGGTGCCGCTGCACCTATCGCTCAGAGAGCTCCTCATCATCTGCAGCGTTTTTGCCTGGGAGATCACCACATGAATAGTCCGTATTGCGGGTACAGGAGCGTCTACTCTCTGAGTTCGAAGTCAAGCGCGGAACCGATCCATTGGGATTTCTTGGGTACCAAGAAGCGAGCTCGGAGAACTTTCCACCAGTCAAGCTCAGCTTATGTAGTGACCGGGGGCCCGACTACGTAGATGTCTAACGATCGAGTGATTGCGTCTTTAGCTTCAGTGGCGGGATCCGCCAAGCAGAAGTCTTACTCCATACGAGGGTCAAGGACCGAACGTGGATACGGGCGTATGAGGGCCGCCCTGTGGGCCGCCTTCAGCTGCTGCTCATGAGGCGAATGGTGAGTGCTTAGAACATGTTGCGGTGGCAAATGAACTTAACCAAGAACATTTAGTGCGTGAAAAATGCTTCTCCACCTGACTTAGGAAATATAAACGTATAGATCATATGGAAGGGTTGAATTCGTCATCGCCATGATATCAACAGAATTCCTTCCTCCCTCTACCTCTCAGAATTAGTAACAATTATCATGGTACTGGTTGCGAGAAAAGTTAGGTCGCATCGTATAAATCGAATATGCAATTGAGAAGCGTTCAAATTGCGAAGTACAATACCCGTTCTCAAGAACTGGTTAGAGTACAGAAATTGTAATTTTATGAGCACAACATAGATTCGATACATAAACGATGGTGATAAAAAAGAGAATCATATCTTTGCTATCAAGGTGCAACTATCACTTCAACAATTTTCCTTTATATAATGACTCTTCTCATCAATTAATGCACGCTAACGTTCGTTTAAAAGCGTCGTATCGAAATCAAGTGTACCCGCATGACTAACTAGAGCTCCCTTTAAGCATGGTTACACTCGTGACCATTTCTACATTTTCAGCCCAGAGAGTTAGACAATCTCTTTTTCACTCTCTTTTAAACGTGAGCATACGGCAATAGTGTGAGACAGTTGCGGTTCAACTCCCCTCAAATATTTATTTTCTAAATCCGTCTCACTAGGACATTTTGAAGAAATTGAACGACGCTAAGAGCGATAATTTTTTTTCTTCCTAGGGCCGCTAGATTCTGGTCATTCCTGGTCTACTAAAGACATAAATTTCATTTGCAAATCTTAAAGCTCTTAATAGCTCAAGGTGAACGGAATACTCAAAGCATATGGTAACAGCTACATCCAATCTGATAGACGTGTCGTGAAAAGACAATACATGCTGTGAGAAATGAAAAGCAGTTGTTTGGCTGTCTCTCTATGAGCAATAATTACCTAGCCAGATTTCCGATGTTAGCTTGTATGCTGTGGTCAGGCGCGGAACATATAATACATCAGTCAGCTAAGAGTCCTATACCGTAACTAAAATTAGAGAGCAGCATGTAGGTAAAATGAGTCTTGCCGAGGTTGCTACAAAATATCTTATGCTTACTTTCTTTAATGGTGAGTGGTATGTAATGCGTGACATGATGCTAACAGCTAAATTTTCACACAGATATGTACGACTTGGATTCATTTTTTATTGTACCCCGTCTGCTTTTTGCACAATTCACAACAGTTTATCGTGGATTTTGCATCTGTAATGTGATGCTTACAATTGCACAGATGTGCAATGTACACGCTCACTCTTGTGCGTTACGATTCCGGTTTCAAAAGATCACGAAATCTAGCACTTTAAATGAAGCATGCAATAGAGCAGGAAAATAGTTTTACAAATTTTAACCACAGGCTTCGATAAAGCGACATTGACGTTCAACTATTTCTGCTTTGGAAAGCTTATAGCAGTGCAACATACTTTGCGTATATCCTGTTCACTGGATGAATTGCTTCATCAATGCTCGACGTCGCGATCGTGGCATGAAAGTATACATAGTCTGGTGACGCAAAATTGAATTCGTCACATCATGAAGCCGACCCAGCTCATAACGTATATCAAGCGTATATTCGGCAATGGGCAATTATTTCCTGGGGTTATCTTCAAGAGACACGGTGACAACGTCACGTTACCCAGCAAAGCGATATGTATAGATCACATATGGCTGGGAGCCGGGAAAACATACCCTTTTACTTAAAAAATAAGTCTGCATAAAAAGTCGCTCCTGAATACGAACAAGGTAGTGCGTTTTATCACTTCAAGCAGGAAGATCCAGACACAATAAAGCATTCATGTTTATTGTATCTGCATTGAGAAAACACTGGCGCGTTTGAGACGTGGACCTCGGTGGGGAAGGCTGAAGCGTTTCAGACGTCATCATAAAGCCGACCTAGGTTGGAAACGCCAGGATCGAGATACAAATAAAGATTTCTCATAGCGTGAAAGGTCACATCTGATCATCTTCTTCAATGGTATTGATGTCCTGTCTAATCAGATGGATGATAGGCTGTGTCATGCCGGCATAATTTACCCCATTTTGTTGTCTCGGCCAGGACATCAAAGTTCATTTCTGAAAGAAGATTTGACTAATCTATGAAAAACGTTTCAGTATATGCGAGATCTACCGGCGGGCCGTGCTTGCCAGTGGTGTTCTCAGAATAAGGATCTAGTTGACTTCACACCAGTTTATGATATTCGATATGACAAAAGACTGATGATTAAAAATGACGAATCATTATTGCAGAAATTACCAATGATTAACAGCTCCGTGGAAGCTTGTATTCAACTAGCGAACGGGACATGCAAGTTATCTTTGATTGAAAGTGCTCTATGCGAATGTCTATATCGTATTTTTTATCTTTGCCCGACTATGGGCTAATATATCTTCACAAATAATATATGCAAAAGCATGACTAGTCACCAGTCGATTAACCGATGCGGGTACCTGGCAGATCCCTCCACTCATCGAGCACCCCCCTATAATTTATAAAGCAGTGAAACGGGATGAAATGTTTCATTAGGTAGTTGTTAATATTCTTTGGCTGTAAACAAGGTACAGTCAACCATGCCGTCTATTTTTACAGCATGATCACTCCAGGGTTATCA